AATACGTCTAGTAAACTTACACGCAATTACACATGTCAAATCCATAAATTTAAAGGCATATGATTGACTTAAAACATGCTAGAATCCAAATACAACTGTATAATTCATAGACTGAAACAAGTGCTTTGTGGTAACCTATAAAATAGGTATACAAACTGAAAGCATTTGAATAGACTTCATAATTCCTAAGAGACTATCCTAGGAAATCTCAATGACAGCAAATCAGGCATTTTCTCCTGAAGTTAAAAGTTCTTAGGAGTATATTCATAAACATTAACAGAGGAAAATAGAAACAACTCAGGTTTTATGAACCAATTTTACCTATTCAAATTTAGTTCCATATAGAACCCTAATCATAACCACAGCTTCTCTGGGAATTTCCCTTTTCTCCTGATTTTGTGGGAATATATTTATTACCTCCCCTGTTCCGGAAGGATTTAAGGTAGAAGACAGATTCAGAAATACCAAAAAGTACAATAATAGGATAAACAAAAAGAAAACAGAGTTTGGGGATTAGCACTCATAAAAATATTTAAGAAAAGGTCAGGAAATAATAACCAAAAAATTGTGTTACATTATTTTCTCACATTGACTTTCTGAAAAATTTTTGAGAAAACAAATTACTGGTGAACTGGAGATGTGGATCAAATTTCTTTGTTCAATTTTGTTAATATTGATGGAGCACATGATTATCAAAATATTGTGTGCTGTTTTTGTGCTTCACTAAAAGAAGTTTTTCTTACTGCCATACTATGTGACACTAGATTTAGTCACATGGTAGAGGAGAATGCTGGTGAAAAACAAAATGTGGGTACACTGACTCGATTCCCACTGAGAAATCCATCAGCTGGGTACCTGTTGGTGACTTGTAGATAGGTAGCTACAAATCAAGTGGCCAGACAAAGATGGCTCTTCTTTGGCCATGGGACAGAGCACCAATTCTAGGCCTTATGACTGTAGCAGCTTATCCTCCAGCTCCCTTGTTAGGACCCAGCAAAGTAAATGGGAAGAAGTTAAAGTAAAGAGCAGGAGGCTGACTCAGGTTGGTATGGTGAGGCCATAATCTCCTCTGCTGCCCAAAGAGCAGCAGGGATTCTGATGGTGCTTAGAGTGCATATTACACAGACCACTCCTGTGGTTGGGGAAGGAAGAACATTCTGGAGAGTAGGCTGAGGCAGCACACTAAACAGTTTCAGGGAAATATGAATAGGTCTATTTATCTTTATTCTATAGGCACAGATTTCAATAAATGATAAAAGATCTTGTATGTAAAAGAGCTAATTAGTAAAAGCAGCAAGGATAAAGGAAAGGACTTAGGGGAAGTAGGGAGAAAAGAAAGGCAGTAGGCTGTTCTCCTATGAGGTGTGGCACAGGTTTAAAACTAGATTAAGGACCAAATTAAAACCACCTATCTAATGACTAAAATTAACTATTTGCCTTCTTTTTTGAAGATGAGTGTTCCTAAGCAGTACTGCTGAGTTTTGGTTAGGCTGGGATTCTTCCTAACCCAACTTCATTCCTATGAAGTTCAAGTCTAACAATCTGTAAAAGTGGGAACTGCAGTGCTCTTGAATGGGGTGGCAATGACTACTCTAGCCCAATGATACCCTTCAGAACACAGACAGGGCCAACCTATCCAATTAGCAATGCCTCAGGTTCACAATATTCTGAAAGGCCCACAAAAATGTTTTCACATTTTTTTAACTTAATGAAAAAAAAAAAAGAAATTTACCATTAAAACAAAAACAAAAACAAACAAAAAAAAAACACCCAGAAAAAACCATTTTAAACCTAAATCTAAACAAATTCATTTTATACAAACATAATTTTAAAATACAGTTTTAAAATTTGTACGGGAGAAGGGGTGCAAGAAAGCAAAGTACTGGGGAGGCTGAGGCACTAAGCAACTCAGTGAGACCCTGTCTCTAAATAAAATATAAAATTGGGCTGGGGATGTGGCTCAGTGGTTGAGTGCCCCTGAGTTCAATCTCTGGTACATCCCCCCGCCCCCCCCAAAGAAGGCAAAGTACCTGGGGCAGAGAAAATTCATCAGATACCTCTAACCAACTGTAGAAACTGAAGATCATTTAAAAGGATTACAATCTGTAATTAAAAAGACTGTTCTCTCAAAGAACAATGGTTCAAGGTTAAAATAACGGAGGAAGAAAAGAAAGAGAGTCTGATATTACTGGTCTTGTTTCACTGATTTTTCTTCTTTTGAATATTTCTTTGGAATTTGATTTTTAAAGAAAACTGTTTAATATTGAAGAAGTACTTATATCAATCTTCATTAGCCAAGCCAGAACAAGAAACAAAGTTAAGCTCATTATCTTATAATCATGTGCAATAATATTAAATAACAGACTCAGGATGAAGAGACCTGGATATTTTTGAGTTCCTTTTCTACTTCTGGAAACATTATTAGAGGTGGGTTTTTCTTTTGGAGTCGGCCTCCTGAATTTCCTATATTACAAGTTCTCTCAATTCTAGGCTTCCTCTTTGCTTCTCCAAAGCCCTGGCTGCAACTGCCTAAGGTTGGTGGTATGTTTAGAATATGAGAAGAGAATAAAGGAAGCAAGCAGAATGACTAGGAAAAGAGAAGAGGAAAACAGTAAATTTTCTGTATTTAAAAAATATTTTATAAGATAAAAAATACTTAATGTAAATACTAATACTATAAATATTGTTTTAAAGTTATTTTTTAAATTGTTCTCTCAAGGCCCTACACTATGACAATTACCATCCTTGAGTTCCTTATAGTACTGGATTGGTTAGTAAATATGGTTAACCATTGACATTTAGAAGCCCAGAGTTGAGAACAGTACTTTTAACATTTTCTATCATCCAAATTCATCAGGATTATAGGGATATATATCAATCCAGAGAGCTAAAAATTACTACTTCCTAGTGTCCGTTCCTCCATGTGCAATGAGGAAACAGATCAAAAGACGAGCACAAACGAATAAATTATTGCCTTTCATAGAATCATATACTTCTTGTGCTTGAAGGGAACACCAAAGTCATTTAAAATTCATACACTTAATTTACAATCGAGGAGCCTGGGGTTCAGAAAGATTATATGATTTAAGTCACACAGAAAAGCTTTTACCAGAATCAGATTTCTTGATTTTTAGACTAGGACTCTTATATTTGTAACCCTCAAGGTTTTTTTTTTAATCCACACAGAGAAATGGAAAAACTACCAGTTTTCTTTTCAAAATGTTAATCTGAAAACTGCAGAATTTCAAAATATAAAATTTCAAAGAAGTAGACCAACAAATAAATCAAAATTTTAGACCCAGAAAGATACTAGGAAGTTAAATTGGACTCTGGCTACAGAAAATAAGTTAGGTCAGGGAAGATAAACTATACCTCCCCAAAATCACAAGGTTGAGACTCAGATAACCTAAAATTGGAAAGCTGCTTCTTTCAATACTACCTTATTCTTCCTTGGCTACTGATTATAACCAAATAAAACAAAAACATGGATTCACATCCAGTCTAGATATAATAACTGTTATTACTATACCTGGAGAATAGGTATAAATCAATTCTCTGCTTAATAGAAATTAACTAAAATTAATTTTGTTAAATTTTAATGAATGAGGCAGCATAATGCATGTTTTCATTTGATAATGTACTTAAGTGTGGATCAAAATTCTGAGTTTTGTTGTTTTTATTATGAGATGGTGTTTTAGACTCAGGAATCTAATACCAAATTAGACTGTTTGCAGTTCTTTAGATCAGCAGCCTATATTTTGTGAAAGCAATGACCTAAGAATGATTTTTTCATTTTTAAAATGCTATTAAAAAAATTGAAGAATTTCTGACAGAGACCACACATGGCCAAAAAGCTGAAACTATATAGTAACTGGACCCTTACATTATAAAAGTTTGCTGGATTTTGACAGTTCTCTGAGTCAGGGCTATCCCTTTCACCTTGAGGTAAAGACCTTCTCCCTGTTTTCTTTTCCCAATTAAGCTTTGCTTATATACTCATAAAAAAGAAAAGTTTGCTGGCCTCCATTCAGAAAGTACATGAAACTGGGATTGAATATGTAAAAATACATGAAGGCTTTTTTGCTTGTTTGGCTTCTAAAAGTTAAACCTCTAATTTATTTAGACTTTACTGCAATTTGCCTTTCTTCTGATAGTAGACAGTGGAGGAAAAAAAAAATCTTGTTTGAGGGTTACAATTACCAGATCCAGTTAAATGATGATCACAGACTAATGGAAAGTGAACATATAATTGGAGCTAATTATTTATGCATGTGAAATTCATAAACATTTCAGACAGCTGAGAAAACAGCATATTCTAAAGTATTGTTGGCTTTTTAAAAACATAATGGAAGCAAACGGGCAATTCAAGACTGAGTATTCACCACAGTGGCAGGGCACTGGCCTAACATATATGAAGCCCTGGCTTTGATCCCTAGCACCAAAGGAAGGGGGAACAAAAAAAACCCCACCAAAACCAAACCCTGGTAATTTAATTCTCTTCCTCTGGTTTCTTCTGTTGGTTTTTAAAATATTCTCCTCATGCCTCTCATGGCCCCCTACAGCATGTTGTTATTTATTAATTAGTAGTTCTCCACTATGTTAATTATCTCAGTGACCACCCATCCATATCTCATTTGCAATCCTGAATAACAAATACACAAATCTCACCAGAACATATGCAAATAATGGAAGTGCTTCTAATGAGATGTGAGATGCCAAAATGAAAAATAGTGACTAGTTCAGGGAAAAAGCAAAAATTAAGGATAATCCACTTATCAATCTGAATGTAACAGTAAAGCAGACCACCTGCATAAGTTTTCATAGTCTACTGCACTGCGTGATAAAGGACAGGAACAGTGTGATGGGCCCTGGTTTACACAACACTCTGATAACCACTATATGAAAACAAGTCCATATCTCCTCCTTTCCATAAATTTATGTGGAAAAGTGTAGATTTTTGTTCACTAGAGAAAAATTATCGCAAAGTCATGCCACAGTTAAATTACAATCATTTCAAGGTTATAACTTTAAAAGTAGGATCTATTCTATAGATTAAAATGTCTTACTTTAATAATTACATTAATAATTGCTTTGCAGTATCTTCAGCCACTTCATTTTCTTGCTTGCTTTTGTAATTGGAAAGGAACAAATTTTCTATTTGCGTCAAGAATTCCTCAGCAATGAAGCAATTAGTTACTTTGCTCAGAGTTTTTCTCAGACACTCCAAAAGCTAGTTAAAAAGAAAAAATTTATGAATAAATACATTAAAAAGTATAAGAAGAGGAACTAGTTAAACATCACCATTTTGTCTCTTTCCAAACCTCACATTTCTTAATGATCAAATGAGGAACTCTCCTAAGTATGGCTAAAGGCTGACTTATTTTCAACTGCCTGCTGAAGTATTGGAAACCAGTGAGGAATGCTTAGCTTGGTTCCCTTACAACTTTATGTAAGAAGACAAACCTATGATTGTATATGTGATGGTCTCTACTTTGGACAAATTTGTGACTTTTGCTCCATTTTTTAGTTGTTGCACTCACAAAGTAAAATAATATTAGGATTTTTAAAAGAAAAGCTTTGGATCTAGTGATGTAGTAAAATGCCTATTAATTCATTTTTGTCTCAGATGTAGAACACCTAAAAAAACTTAAGTTGAGCAACAAATAAACTAAGATAACTTTTAAATTATTATGTTTTCAGGTTCTATTCTTTTGATAAAATAGGTGAATGAGTAGTGTTTGAAAAAATATATTTTCATACATATAAACACAGAGGAAATATAAGCTCTAGATTATGAATTTCAATTTATCTTAATGCTTATATACCAATTTCATTGAACTATTTGCAATATTGAAAACTTGAGACTTAATGGGTTAATGTGCAAGGTTCTGGGATCAACCTCCAGCACCACAAAGAAACAAAACAAATCCAAATTAAAAAAACCATGTAGATAAAAACATAAGTCTCTACTGTTCAAAAATTAGAATGTTACAATCTACTTTCTGAGAAATGTGTATATTAGTCTTTCAATAGCATATGGAAAAATGTGGTTATAAAATTAAGAAGTAAAAGATACTGAAAATTAATGTTTAAAAATTTTCTATTCCCAAATTGCTACCAAAAAAATCCCAAGACAAATGTTGCCAATCTACTCATTATAGAAGCAAAATGAGAAGTGAGATAAAATAATTCAAAGTTCTTATTTCCTATTAGAAATTTAAATAAAAAGACCATTTAAATTTAATTGTTAGATTTACACTATCATTCTTAAAAATGATCAATTGTTAAGGCTAGAGGGAAAACATGGTGCTTTTGAATTTAATAAAATGAGAAAAATGTTCTCCATTGTGCACAATAATAATCTGCTAAGAAATTTATCAGTCAACACTTGACAAATTTATTCTAAAATAGTATTATTTCTCTGTGCAAGTTTGGGCAACAAATACACATTACTAATTATCTTCTAGAAATTAACTTTAGAAAGAAAAAAGCAATAAAGAATCTATATAGAAAATGTATCCACAAAGCATTAGGCATCAAGGGAAAACACATCTAGATGAATAGCTTTGGAATCTGTGAACAACAGAATCAATTAAAATGAAGGCAGCTTACTTTCTGCAGACAAGTCAGGTCAGAATCCCGGCGAAAGATTTTATCCATGGGGACACTGCTGTAGGAAGAAATATGAAAACAAACTGATGAAACAAATACTATAAGGTAATCAGTTGTGTAATAAACTATCACTGATGCCATACATCACAGTTTTATATTTAACTTGGGTTTTCTCTAAAACATAATTTAATGAGAAACACTGCAGATGTGCAACCATCTCAAACCACAACACATACCTAGGGGAGAGCCTGTATTTTTCTATTATCCATCTTGTCTTTTCAAATACTAATCCCCACCGAGGTTCTTCTAACATCTGTTGTACTTCAAATTTGTAAGGTAAACCTAGAAAACCATAAAGAAGCATATTTTCAACTATTTCTTAATCTCCAGTCTTCTTTTAATTACTTAAAATTCCCTTCAGTATTTTAACAACCACAGCATGGCAGACCAGCTGAACAGCACTTTAAACATAGAGGGCAGTCATTAAATATTTATTGCCTGACTATACTTGGTCCACCAAGCATATTAATGCCAAGCTATTAATAATAATGAAGAAGAGTAAAAGTGACACTTTCATGACAATTCTACACAAGACACTACGAGAGGTGGGGTGAGCACATAATATGTTATCCAAACCAAAAGACTTTTATAATGAAAGGAGACAAAATTAATAACTATGCCTAAACCACAGGCTTAAACTGGGATAGTAGTCAAGACAAGATATATGGCCATCCTAGTGATAAGTTTTTTTTTAGGACAAGTGATATCAAGCAGCATTACTCCTATTTTTCAGAGGAGAAAATTCAAGTTAAGCTATGTTAAATACAATGTTCAAGTTAGCAAAATTGGAGCTTAGATTTCACATCACCTCCCTATAGGTGCTAGTCTAAGACTAGACATGGAATGGGATCAACCTTGGAGAGGCAGCAACTGTACTTGAGTCATAGCTGCCATACCAAACTGGAGGAAAAGAGCCCAAAGGGTAGACATCACCACACAATGAGCCATCTTAGCAATCTGTCACATATCCTTCAACACTGCCATGTAAATCTACAGAATATTAAAAGAACAGCTCAAGTGATTCATTACCAAAGGTTTACCATGTGCCAGGCATCAGGTGCTTTAAGTATGTGAAGTCATTTAAATGAAGTAGTTACTATTATTGTCCCCATTTCCCATTTTTCAATGAGGACACAGAGCCAGGAAAAGGTTGTGTATAAGAAGGACTTGAACCCCCAGGCCATCAGGCTTGATAATAAAAATATTTATTTTTTAGTTTAAGGTGGACACAATATCTTTTATTTTATTTTTATGTGGTGCTGAGGATTGAACCCACTGTCTCATGCTTGCTAAGTGAGCACTCTTACCACTTGAGCCACAACCCCAGCCTTATAATGTATGTTTTTAACTTTTGCACTCTACTGCCTCTCAATCAAGGTTTTTTGCCATAACAAGGCTTTTCAGGTTAATAAAAATCCAGCAAGTCAGAAAGCAAGAAAACAGGGTGGGGGGTCGGGGGGTGGGAGTGCGGACATGGTATTCTTCATAATAAAACAAAACATGCTCTAAAAAAGGCCACCCTGGCCCCAAATGTTTGGAAACAAAGAAAGGGATAGCAAGACTACTGATGACTAATTTTTTTTTCACTTCTCAATTCTCCCTCCCTCCATTTTATTTCTCCCTTGCAGAAACTTAAGAAGACTGATACATTATAGTACATGGACTATTAAGCAAATTCTTCTGGTGATAACAAATCAACTAAGCAGAGAAGCCAGCTACAATGGTAACTACCTATTTTGCTAAATACTTCACATACATTACCAGAATTTCTCACCCTGTAAGCAAGATAATATTTTTTTCTCACTTTACAGAATTAACAAAAGAGAATGAGAGGGCCTAAGTAATCTGCCTAAGGTAAAATAACTAGTAAATGTAAAGTGGTGGGATCTGAATATAGTTGAATGACTTCTATTCCTAATGAAAACTGAAAATGGGAATAAAGAGAGGTAAAGAATGCATTTTCAATCAGAGCTGATGGAAAAATATAAACACACAAAAACTACACAGAGGTATACTTGGCATTATTTAGAAATTTTCTTCTAAGTTAAAGGCACTAAAGTAAAAATTTCCTTTTGTATAGAATATTTTTATCCACTGAAATATTAGAAAAAACTAATCACTGACTATATTTCCTGACTGATACAAGTACAGAAAACACTTAACCATTAGACATTTTAAAGACAGGAATAGAGTTAAAAGCACTGTAGCACAAAATATCTTGTGACTTCTGTAAAATCTTAATTCTTATACAAAAGGATTTCCAAGAGAAGCAAAGCCAAGGACCTAAGATTAGAATCTTGCATGCAGTTCTAACAATTGACAAGTCATTAACCAGGCAGCTCTACTCAACAGAACTTTCCATAATGAAGAATGCTGAATCTGTGTGCTGTCCAATGAAAGCTTATCCTTTCAAGTAATCCCTCCCCGGCCTGAGCTAGTTCCTTCACACACACTGGTCTGTACTTTGCTAAACATCTGAGGGTTCCTTCCACAAATCTTCAAAATTCACTCTATTATCTGGCTTTCTGTTTGTCCTCCTTACCTCCATCACCTCAACTCTGGTGGCTTTCTCCTCCGGTGCCATACCTGGAAACTTAGGTGGACAGAATGCCTTTATTTTATTTGTTTATTTTTATGTGGTGCAAGCTCTCTACCACTGAGCTAAAGCCCCAGCCCCTGGAAACTCTTTTATGTCAGTAAGTAACAGTAATTTAGAGCTCAATTACTTTGTTACCTGTCTCTTGGAATCATCTTTCTTTGGTGCCTGAAGTTGTGTCCTAAATACCACTGTTGGATATGTTTGTCTAGTGTTTTGGTTGTTTCAGACAGGTCTAAACTACTTCATTTTGACTACAAGCAGAATTGCATGAAGTGAATTTTAAACTTCAATTAATTCCACTGAATTTAAGTCATATGTATCCTATATTTATTGTATTAGATGGCATCAGAATAAAGACTCTTAACCAAGATCTAGCCAATAATGACATAAGAAGTAATTTAAATTGAGAACAAGTTGATGGTGTTTCTTTCCTTTATAACTCTTTGTAAAACTATGCTTAGCCAAAGAATGATATATACCATGTGCTATGCTCAAACAGGCATTTAAGACTAAATCTAATGCCAATGTTATACATTCAGTAAAACCCAATAGTGTTGACCACCTCCTAGATGCAAGACAACTGATTAGGTGCTCCTGGGGATGCAAAGATAATTAAGACATAGTTCCTGCTCTTTAAAGAAAATGCAATTTTAACAAGACTTGGAAAACAGAGAGTATCTAATGGTAAATGACATGGCCGTAGAGCTGGGAAGTCTAATAAATACAGGACATCCAAGTGAGATGATTAGAAATGAAAAGAAATTATTAAACCAACATTCATTTAGTTTAAACGCCAAGTCTTGTACTAGTAACGGGATAGAAAAATGAGCACATATCCATAATGAACTCATGATTTAATTCAGAGGAAATCTGAAATTCTGCAGTGGTAGTAAGAACAAAAAGAGAATAACATCCTAGAAGAGCTAACTGCTTCCTCCAACCATTTCATTTCCATCTACATCCCCTTCCTTTTCTAATCTGGTATACATATTCCCTATCCAGCTAGAGTTGATTAGATCACAATAGACATAAATTCCAGAGAAAACACAATGTCTGATGGGATAAGCCAACCAAATTCTTTCATGAGACAGAATGGGGATTAAAAGAGTTAGTCATTGGTAAACCTAATATCACTAGAAGATGATAGAGAGCAAGGTTTTTTGTTTGTTTGTTCCCTTTTCCATTTCCACTGCAGAGAAAGCCAGTCTGCATTTATAAGCACACTTTCATGAGATCAGGGACTATGCTTATTTACTGCAGTTTCTCCAGCATATACAGCAGTTCTCCTAGCACATACACTGCTTGCCTATAACTTTTCTCCACATTTTCATCCTTTTGCCCAGTTGTCATGGTAACACAGGGGCTATTATGTAAAAGAAGAAGGTGGTAGCACTAAATAGCATAAAAATAGTGATTCTCTAGTTGATGGACAAACTTTTCCATTAAATAGTTTTGTATAGCTGTAAATTCTTTGATTTATAAGATAAGAAATAGTAATTAGTTGTTATTGTTGAAAACTTACGATAGGAGCCATCTGGGCTAATTTCCTCACTTATAACCAGGCAGGTAATCTGGGAATATGGTAAAGGATTGTTTCGATTATAGGGACTAACAATCATCCCAATGAACTTTGCACCTCCTCTGGAGAAGTAACTCTATAAAAAAAGTAAAATTAGTTTCAACTACATAAATTCAAAGGTCAGTATTTAATCACACTAACATCTACTGGGGGGGAAGGGAACAAAAAGGTACATTATGAACTTCATATCCAAACATCAACAAAATGAAATGCTGCATGTATTCATTTCACACTGTGAAATTTTTAATTAATTAAATTTATTTAATTAAAATGTGTCAAATCCAATCTAAAATGACCCTTAAAAAATATCACAAAGCCTACAAAAATCTGCATTTGCTATGAATATGTTTACTAATTATAATGGTTATTTTTCAACTATAATCTACAATAGCTGCCCACAGCTAAAACACTCATATATCAAACATAAAATTGCAGGAAAAAAAAACTTGTTTTCTTCAGATGGGTAAATTACATGAATGTTTCCAACTATTTTAACTATTCCCTGTCCTAATTTTTCCTATCATTTTTAGAAGGCTCTGAAAATATCAGTATTACTTTTGTAGCTTGTCTGTACTAAACAAAATTGCTGACTCTCCAAATGCTTATACAAACACGTATTATTATTACAACCAGAGAAAAGAATTCAAGTTAATTAAAAATCCCAGATGAAAGAATATCAAAAACACTATGCTTATTAAAGAAAAAAAAACACAATAGGATGTGTAATCATGTACAGCAGGCACACATACAATACCTATATACATACCTGGTATTTGGCTTGTGTGTCAATATCTCTTAAGGAAGGATTAGGATCAAATGCAGGATGAGAATGATACCATCCAATAACACTGTAACCTCTAACAGCCAAGGTTTCTGAGGCCTGTGTTTGTGATACAGGATCCATCTCACACTGTAGTCCTGTACTCAGACTGTTACATGGTTCTGCTGCACAGACCTATGAAGGATTGAGCCTCTTATGATTATTCTGAAATCCTCTTAATTCTATCACTTGCAAACAAATTATACTCCCAAAGTGTGATTGTATGCTAAGAACTTTGCATGCATTTTTCTATTTTAATAAGGTCATACTAATGGCTACTTTTCCAAATTGAACTATATAATACAAGTGCTAAGGTGTTCAACAATTCCTGTTATTTATGGCAATAATTTCAAATTGATATGCAACAGAATAATGCATATCAACTTTCAACTACAAGTACCAATACATATTTTTGGCATCTTAGGAGTTATAGCTCTTTATTGATAAAGGTAGTGAAAGGCCAAGGCTTGGCAGTATTCTCTTTCTTGATGAGAAAAAGAAATAGGTGCTCAGTATATATGAAATGTAAGTCACTTCTGGGAATAATTTGCATGTTCTCACACATACAATAAGTAAAGTCTATTTTGATATAAATACTCCATAAAAATATTTAGTATGGCAGCAGGATTAGATAGTAATTAAAACATTTTTTTAAAAGAAAGAACTTACTTCAACTATCTTATTAACTTCTGAGTATCTTCCTCCTAACAGACCAATTACTTCTGCCATAGAGACGTGAGCATGCTAGAAGAAATACAAGATTACTTAGCTCAAATGCACAAACCATCTGACAAAAATCAGAATTAAACTCACTATTATAGGAGAGTCACTTCTAAATACACCTATGCTATTCTAAAATAAGGTCACATAGGTTAACTAGATGTGAGTCTGAACACAAATTTCATCTTTCTTCACTGCTGGCTGAGAAGTTTTGAAGCAAACACTTTAATACCCCAAGACAGCACTTTTTCATTTAAAAATGAAGACATTATTTGTTCTCCCTATTCAAGAAAAGCATTACAAGGACACAAAAGTAAAAATTACTTTGGGTCCTTCTACAGAAAACACCACAAACTTACACAACTGTTAGAGTATTGGTAGTTTAGTGCAAAAAAAGGAACCTCCAAATTACAAGTTGTGCTTTGTTTCAGTACTCTAAAAAGGCAGCAGACATGAGACATTAGGAAATGAAAATAGGGTTAATGATGGCAAACAGTCTGCAAAACTCACATTAATTTATTTTCTCTAAAATATGGAAACATGCACTTGTATGGCTTTTCTTCAAAAGAAAAACTTATTTTTAGATTCCTTGTCTTAAAAGAGGATAATAAAGATCCAAAATAAATGTCTTCCATACTCTTCCTGCAATAAAAGTACAACAAGAGTAGAAATCAGAGTAAGTCAACACAATAGATTATCCTTACCAAATCCATTATTAAAAGTGCTTCTGAAGCTACTTTCACCTGAAATGGCTCCTGAAATACAAAAAAAAAAAAGGGAGGGGGGCACATAAAAATAGAGATTGTGTTCTCCCCAACTCAAATGTCCACCCTTTTCTCGTTTGCCTCTTTCAAATTCTCACCACTAATCAAAGTTCAATGCAAATCAGACTTTTTTAAAAAGAAATTTAGCCTTCAAAACCTAGCAGGAAGTAATTCCCTCTCATTTTCCATCTGTACCAATCAATTGGCCCTTAATATATCTTATCTGATCCTTTCATATACATATTTCTTGCATATACAGAATAAGAAAAAGCATTTCTTGTCAGACAGTGACATTACCTATGGTTTGTCATTGATATATAAATAGTACCTGCTTTTCTTCACTGAAAAAATTACAAGGTATCAGTTGGAAGGGATCAAATGAGCTGAAAAGAAAAAAAAATACTTATTTTAAATATAACCTCAACAAGATTAGGATAATTATTATAAAATTATTTACAAATTTGAAAATGTACATCAATAATCTAAATTCAAATTCTGAGAAAAATATAAAATTAGAAAAATCACTTAGTACATTCATATAACCTTTTTGAAAGAAACCATAAGCAACTTAATTTCCTAATACCCAAAGAAAACAGGATAAATGGTCAGCCATGTTTCCTATGCTGAAAGGAGATTTTTAGAAGTTCCAGTAAAGGAAAAAGAAGAAGAAGTTCCCTGACATGAGATACCAAAGTTCATGGATGTTTCTCAAAAAAACTTCTCTCAGTACAAAGTGCCCACTACAGAGTAGATTCAATGAATACTTTTAAAATAAATGAATAACAAATAGTTCTATTAAAGAAATTAATGTACAGAGGAAGTTCTCTGGAAAACTCTTATTATATAAAGAGATGAAAAGGGGGAACCTAAGCAAATCTAAATAAAAAGGCCATGTGTAAACTTGAAAGACATGTCAAAATGCTTTGACCAGTAAAAAACTGAGTTTGGGAAAAATATTAAGCACATTACAAGGTTATTTTAGGCTATGCTCACAGAAAGAAAAACAAGCAAGAATATGTTCATGATGTTATGACTGGAAAAAAATAAGACTATTATGTTTCCATTGTAAGAATGAGACAACCAGTGACAAAAGGACATTGTGTATTATTTAATACTGTATCCCAAGGGCCTAGGACAGTGCCTGAAACACAGTAGGCATTCAAAAAATATTTGTTGAATTAAGAACTTTCAATTACCAAATAAAAAAGAACTAAAGGCCAAGACAGATGAGAAAAATAAAAAGAACAGTGGAAGAACATCCCAGAACACTTAATAACCTTGAACGTAGAACCTCTCTGTCAATGCTTCTTAAGGGTTAGAGGATGGTGGATTGGCAATTATTGAACCCGGGGGCCCATGAAAAAGCAGACATCAGAAACAAAAATTAAATGCTGATTACCAGGAAAACTCTAGAAAAGATTTTTAAACAGCTGATTTGTGAGCCTTTACTAAGTGGAGGGGTAAATAATGGGTTTAGGAAAATTTAAGTCATAATAAAGAGATCTTTCCATAGATACGTCTGATGGGGATAACTGGCTAGAAACCAGAAGACTACACGAAGATTCAAATTATTTTATCCAAATTTAAGCAAGACATACACTATCATTACTTTTCTGAATAACAAGAAATATGGGTTAATTCTGGTAATAAATGTATCTGACTATGTCTGATATTTATATTTATTCCAGTTAAACATTTTATGTGGCAATTAACAGAAGAAAAGGCAAACTTATTGAAATGTTGATGATTAGTGGCACAAAGGCTAAAATGTGAAAAGTAGATCTGAATTTGAAAAGGTCCTGACACACTGAATCGATTTGAAAATAAAAATATAAAGTATAAGTCTCACAGATTCAAAAAATCAAATGTTTGAATACTGAATGAAGAGGCTTGGTTTATAGATGACTGTATTCATAGTCTAACATATTTTCACAATAACAGTATTAGTTTTAATTTCTACTTCACAGAAGCAATATATAATGTAGTAAATTATATATTACCAGGAATATGGATTCTTAAGCCTTATTGTCTGGGCTTAAATCACAGTTCCAACACTAAGCATCAGCAAGTTACTAAATTGCCCTTTGCCCTCAGTTTTCATCTGTAAAATGAGAGTGATAACATCAACTATTACAGAAGGTTTCTATGAGGATTAAATGATTTAATATATGTGAACTGTTTAAAACATAGTGAACTGTGTTAGCTATTTTAATTATTATTTCATAAACAAGAACAGGAGGTCTATCCAAGGTCACACAACTTGCAAGAAAATGATCTAGTGGCATTCCTGGGTATCTTGTTTTAAAAGGGAATAGTGACAAAACTATGATCTAATCAGTGGGATAGGTATCTGTAGGGAATGGAGAGGTCTTCTAGAAAAATTCAAGGCATTTGACTTACTTGGCAACCCTTATATTTTGCAAATTACACACACACACACACACACACACAAAACACACACACACACACACACACACATTTTTTGGTGGGGAAGGGTATTGGAGATTGAACCTGGGGGCACTTAACCACATCCCCAGACCTTTTTAATTTTTATTAAGACAGGGTCTCACAGAATTGCTTGTAGCCTTGCTGCTGAGGCTGGGTTTGAACTTGTGATCTTCCTGCCTCAGCCTCCTGAGTCACTGGGATTAAAGGTATGTACTACTGAACCAAACTAGTTCATATATATTTTGAGAGAACTAGTCACTTCCTGAGGTTACTTGTCCATCTCTGGAGTTGAATGATCTCCTGTCATAAACAAGGTCCTTTTGAAACATATATTGGATCCCATGCTCACTCACCTGAAGTTTAAAACATTTGATTATAGCAACAAAAAACCCCCCAAAATTTTATAATTATTTTTAATTAAAAAAATTTTAACTGATCCATCTTAGTGAATAATAGCATAATGTAGCCAATGGTCATTTGTCTATACATTTTCTGTCTGATAAGTTAAAACAATTAAATTTATATAACATAACACTGTACCTTTTTGTTGGTCTTGACACTTTTGAAGGTTTAACAGGTTTGCCCCTTTCCTCTTCTCTTCTTTTTGCCAACTCCTCAGCAGACAGATGCTAAAACAAAACACCAATTGTTATCAAAGAGTCCATCAACTACACAGATGGAAAAGTAATAAAACAGTCATTTAAAATCAATTTAAGAGCATGTAAGAATAAGATAGACTAAACTGACTTAAATGGGTATCCTACTGGAGAATATTTTTTTTAATTGTTTTAAATAAAACAGCCATATCAAATTGAAAATATAGTCCTCTGGATATGCCCATTTCAATCAATGGTTTCAATCACACAGGTTAAAGAATCTTAGAATCATCTGAGTCTTTTAGTTTCCCTTTCTAGTTACTAATTCTACTGTGCTGAATTTTCTTTCACAACTGGGACAGCACAGTGTTAAAATTAAGAACACATATTTTGTAGGGTGTGGTGGCACACACCTGTAATCAGCTCAGGAGGTTGAGGCAGGAGGACTGCAAATTCAAAGCCAGCCTTGGCAACTTACAATTCTTGTCTCAAAAAAAAAAAAAAAAAAAAAACCCTTGGGTTCCATCCATGGTACCCAAAACAAACCAAACCAAACAAACAAAAAAAAAAACTCAAAACAAAAACAACACAGTTTCTAAAGGCTGAGAGTGTAGCTCAGTGGTAAATGTTTATTTAACAAGCATGATGCCCTGGGTTCAATCCCAGCACTTGGGGGTTGGGTGCAAACTCCAGAAGGATTCTAGAGCCAGAATGTCTGGCTCTGCTCTTCATTATCAAAAAAGTTGATTTCATGCTTCAGTTTACTCATCTTTAAAAATGGGAAGATTAAGAGTAATAATAACAATATCATGGTGTTACTGTGAAGTTAAGTGAGTTAATGTTCATACTTCACTAATTTCATCTTTACTACCAACCTTACACCTTAGCTGAGATAAGCTAATGCACCTTTTCCAGAATATACATATATATTTTAGTATTTTCCATGTCTGCACCTTATCCACTTCCTCAGACAGGAATATTTTAATCCACTTTCAAGATGATTCTTCTGTTGATATTTTGGATCAAATACCACCTCTTCTGTGGAAACCTACCCTGATCATAGTCTTTGAGAGGGCCTTATAATTCATGGACCAACCTTATGTAACTCGGCATAGGTTTTTGTCTTTCCTAACAGAAATATAAGTTTCTTATGGTAAGAAACCATGTATTACTTATTATTGTGCCTAGAAGAGTGTTCAGGTGTTAAAGTTAGGGCAGGAAATGGGGATTGAAGAGAGAGAGCCAACATTTATCTAGTACATTATGCATGTTGGCTTAGTGAGTATCTAATACTAAGACCTTTATATACTTCATCTCATTTACTTCTTACAAAAATCCTTTTGTGGAAGTACTATTATTCATGTTTCATAAATTTAAAAAACACACAATTCAGTGAGGTTAAGTAGTTGCTCAAGGTAACAAAGCCATTAAAAACACAATCATGCATTCTTTACATTCTACTGTACTGGCTATTTAGAACAAATTGTATATTTAGAACAGGGTGTGCATGTGTATATACACAAACACAAACACAGTTACTGCCTGTGTTTCTTTTTTAGGAATTAGTAGAAAAACATTTCAATATTTGTATATCAATGTCTAATGTCTAGAAAACATCATTCAATAAGTATTTAATGAAATTAAACAGGCATACCAACTCTTTGACTGGGCATACATTCTTGAACTAGAGATAAGATGTACAGGGAGAGAACCAAAGTGCTGAAAATAAGTCAGACTCCTAATTAACTGTAGAAACAAAGCTTTCCATTTTGTGGCTTACTAAAAAGTCTAGACAAACAAATTAACATGGGACTAAAGTTGTATATGTGTTAACACATGAAACAACTATAATATTATGACATTAAGATAGACAGATGTATATTGACGAAAACAGTTTTCATGGATAAGCCATGTAAAAGGTCAAAATTACCTCAAATGTTTGTCCTTCTAAGTCCTTTGCATCACACCAGTTTCCCCATGGATCTCGAACCCTTCGTCTCCTTGTTCGCTATGATGAGAATAAAATAAAGCAAAAGGTAACAAGATTAACTTGGAGAAATGATAGCACAAAACCAAAATAATAACTATATAAAATTTAGTTAATTTATTTATTTAAATATTATCATCTCTGATCATCAATGACTCACTAAACTTTATTAATTTATGTTCAACAGTTAGTACTCAGAAATACATCAGTAATTGTGAGCTATGGGTCAAAGCACTGGCAGCAGGTGAGGAGAGTAGGCCAGATGATGAGGCAGAGACATTGTTTGAAAAGAAAAAAATCTGTGATCTTCTGTCTTTTACTTGCATTTAATTTTCATTTCTGTTTATCATTTGAAAGCTAAAAACCTAGGACAAAATTATTTTTAAGACCAGAAAGAACCACCAAGGAAATGGCTTCCCTTTATATGTCAGCTTTAGAAAGGGGACTATGAAGTTAATACAAGTAGTGAAAAACAGAATTTGTTGATATTACTAATATTCAGTTTTACAAACCTCAATACTGAGACCTTTAAGATGGATAAGCTATGAAAGGGCAGTATGACCCGTATCATTTCCAGAAAGAAAAAACATCCTTTCTTAATAGAGTAAACCTAGGTAGAAGTGGTTTGCAGCCTCAACAATGAGAAAAATAACTACTAGATAATACTTTTGTTTCCCCCATGCATTTTACCTATAATCAACTTAGCTTACATGCACAACAAGATTACCTTTTAAATTTTAAAATACAAAATTCACTGATTCTAAGAATTAAAGGTAAATGTTACTCCAAAAAACTGATTCTTATGGAGACAATTTTTAAAGACACAAAAATAATAGAAATGAAAGAGAAAAATAGACCTGAACTGTATAGTTTTGTTTGTTTTTTGTTTTCAGTGGTGCTAGGGATTGAGCCCAGAGTCTCCTAACCTAGGCAAGTCTCTACCACTGAGCCTTATCACTAACCCCCTGAACTGTAAAGTTTTAAAAGATACATTTCTAAATCAAAACTAAACACCCAAAACCACTTTAACAAAACATTATGGCTTTGCATGTTTGTCAATGAATTTTGAGGATTTTATAGTTGGTTTTGCTTCATAAACCAGTATGAAATTGAACTGAAGCTAGAAAAATAAATGGCTAAGGTGAAGTGTAATAGAAAACATTTTCTTCCACTAAATGGCCATTTGTTAAGCAGATAAAGTAGGCATTCTTTACTAAACTGGTAAGGAGCAATGTAGAGGAATCACTTAGAAAAATGGCTGTTTACCATAGACTGCAGACGCTGGGCAAGCTGGTATGCTTCTACTGCATCTTTTCTGTCTCTGATTCGAACTTTATCAACTGGTTGTGGTCTATTATATACAGCCTGTTCTATTGGAGTTCAGGAAAGATAAACAATCTATTATTTTGTGAAGTTCACTTGTTAAAGAGGAAGACACATTTACAAAGACTTTATCTGAGCACCAATGATTCTTATTCCATAATCATACATTTAATGTACTAATGTTGTAGTTCCCAGATAAAAGTAATGCTATTATTAAAAGGAAATTTCAGTAAAACGAATATAGGAAATCAGCAATTTATTTAATTTTTGACTACTGAGCTCCCTTTGCTCACTTTGGCAGTCAAATATAGATCATTTTTGTTTTGTAGCTAAGGAAGCTAAAATGTTTTAATTTTCCTGAAAAGCTAATTTATAAACATAGGGCTTTGGGCAAACCAGGCCACTGAAATGAAAAAGAGTCTCCAAAGCAGACTGTAAATTCTCTGTGCACATAAAATAAAATAAAGGTGCTATGAGTTTTCTAGTTAGTTGTTTCACTTTCACAGAAAAGAAACAAAATGTACTCCTCTTAAATAAACCATGGGCTCTAAGATTCTAGTTATCTTATGACTATGCAACTATGGCTATTAGCTTTCTTCAAAAAGTTTTTGTCATGTCAATTCAATGAAAGGATGGAATACATTTTGAAATATGCCTATTCCTCAAATTTAAATATGGGGGAAAATGGGTGAAAGAACTTTCTTCCATTAAAATATTTTGGTACTTTTGATACATTTAAGTGTGGAGGCTCTTAAATTATTTCCTTTATTTAATCATTACTAGATAGCATTTCTATCATAAATACAGTAAATGTTAGAGTAACCCTTACCCTAAATGCTCAAAGCCAGAAGTACTTCAGATTTCAAACTTTTTTTAGATTTTGGAATATTTGCATGGAAATGCTCCAGTGTCTTTAACTTTTTAAGCACCATGTTGGCCTCAATCTGTATGCATAAATTTAATGGGCCATTAATAGAGTTTTCATAAAATTATTTACTTTTGCCTGACAAAGAACTATACTATTTCTATTAGATTATTTTTCCTTTAAAAACTATACCTTCAGTTTTCATTGTAGATCAAAAAGAAACACAGTTTAATCAACAAAAATTTGATTTACAGCAAAATCGTAATTATACATTTATTCCATAATGGTTACCTCCTTGAATTCTATATACTTAAATTTACTTAAATTCTAGAAATTAATAGGTGCTATAAGGATACAAAATATTGAGTAAAAGATGTTGTTGGATTTTTATTTTTACCACATCCAAAATTGATTGCTCCTATCAACTCGAGGTATGTATGAATCCGTCCAATACAATTAACATCCCCACAGTTCTTCAGGCCAGGACGTACTGAGGTCTTATTTAAGTATTTCGGTTTGCATATCTCCCTAATTAAGAGATGGAAGTACAATTATTTTGGATAAATAAAAACATAAAAAAAGATTTCTGGGGAAAACTTACATGAAATATTTTAAAAATTTACCCATTTCACTGTATAAAGTGTATAGCAAATATAATACATAACCCAAGTGTACTTTTTTCTAAAATCTTTAAACATCTTTAAGTGATGCAATAACTTACAGGTACCTGTACTGTGTTTTACAAGTACTATTCTTTTACCAATAAAAAAGTCAATATTCCAGTTATCCCAGGATCTTTAAGTTAGAAGGCTATTTATGTATTGATCCAAATTCAAGTATAAATCTTTGGAAAAAAGAGCACTTTGACAATATATTAAAAAGATTTAGCATTAAACTTTTCAATTTTTTTTTTTTTAGTGCCAGAGAATGAACCGAAGGCCTCCACACAGGATAGGCAAACATTCTACTCCTGAGTTCTATCTTCCCCTACACTTTTTCCAATTTTTAAACATATTACTTAGGTCAGATGTCTCTTAACTATTAGCTATCTTACAAATATTTACATTTTTATATTCATTTTAATAATGAATCTAATAAATATTAAGTTCTTACTCTCAGTGGAAACAGAAATAGATATTATAGGGGATTCCAAAGAATCAAGACACTCCCAAAACTCCAAACTCCCTTTCCTGAACTTCATAGTTTTTAAATGTGTATTTATTTGAGTAAGCTCTATAAAGTAAATAAAACACAAGATCAAAGAATGAAGAATAAGAAGATATATTAGGGTGGTCAGAAGCCTCTCATTTTCCTGCGCAGACCTGAATTGAGATGAGAAAGCAAGACTCTCCAAGATCTGTAGGAAAGCAAGATCTAAGACAGAGTGGTCAAGGCCCTGAGTTGGAACTGTAGGAACAGTGAGTCAAGACTCCAGACTCTGAAATCATCTTCACCTAGTGTGATCTAGAACAAGTTCCTTATCCTCTGTGAACCTAACTTTTCTCATCTGCAAAATGAGGACAAAATTGTCAAGAGGATTGCGGATAGCTTAAATATAATGCCTGACATTTGGTAGAAATTCAGTTAACTGTATAGATTATTGTTTTAAATAAAAACATTCCTCTAACCAGGGAGTCAATTACATCTACTTTTATGGAAAGGATTTATCTAAAAACAAATTTGGCAGACTTCTTTTTATTTTGAAAACTTTTAAGTCTTCCTTTCTTCTTTTTTTATTTTTTAGTACCACCTCCAGTCCCTAACCAAAATTTCAGTTCTGTTGAAAACATTCCTTTTTGCTTTCACACTGTTCTGTTAAATTATCATATTTAAATAGCAAAACCAAATTGGTTTCAAGAACTAAGACAAATGACTTAGTAAACTACTGCCATATCATTTATATATCTATGTAAATTATTCTGCCTCATATGGAATCCAAAATGCAAAGCAACAATTTGATTAAACATTTAAGTATATATTGATGATCTTCTTATAAACATTTTATTTATTTATTTATTTTTTTTTGGTACAGGGGAATGAACTCAGGGAGAGACACCCAGCTACTGAGCCACACGCCCAGACTTATTTTGTATTTTATTTGGAGACAGAGCATCGCTGTTGCTGAGGCTGGCTTTGAACTTGCAATTATCCTGCCTCAGCCTCCTGAGCCAGTGGGATTACAGGGGTGTGCCACCAGGCCTGGCTCATATAGACATTTCAGAAGTAGTTATTGTTCTGAAGTCCTTCAATTTTGGCTACCCATCTTCTTATTTCCAAAAAATAAAAGTAAAGACCAATAGAAATCTCATTCCATTGGTCTTTTAAAACGTAAGGGCAGAAATGTAGCTCAGTGATAGAAAGTTTGCTTGGCATGTACAAAGCTTTGGGGCACAATCCCTAGCACTGCAAAAATAAATCAAAAAGGGCTGGGAATGTTGGTAGAGTGCTTGCACTAGCATGCATAAGGCCCTGGGGAGGGAGGGAGGGAGGGAGGAAGGGAGGAAGGAAATAAATGAATCATCAAACAAGTAAATATACTTTTAAAAAATAGTGTCAATTAGGTAATGTAGAATAACAGAAAGACTTGGACTAACATCTTTCATAGTCACTGGCTGGTTGTGTAATCAAATACAGGTCACCTAATGGTCACCTGATCTCAGAATTATTCTTTATCAAGTAAGATTATACCATCTGTCTATTTCACAGTATTACGGTGACAAGTCAAATGAAATAAAGGAAAGCTTTCTGTAAACTGCAAAACACCATGTAAATGCTAGGAGTTGTTCCTCCTCAGTATTCTTTACTATGATAGCAACACTAGCCAGAAGTTGTACTTTTAGCACTTTAACCAATTGAAATGATCATGAGGCAAGAACAAGAACAAATCCTCCTGTTGGAATATGGCTGTCTTTGCAAGCCAAATAATGTAATACTGTCTGTATAAAATGAAGATATCTGATTCAACAAATTATTTGTTTCCTTTGTTAACATCCCCAGGATATAGCAGAAAGTTACTGAAACAGGATAGAAAGACCTGATAAAGAGAAAGAGAAAAACAAGGGACACTGCTGAATCCTCACCCAAGGGCCCATCACCTGGAAGCACTCTGTAAAGTTGGCCATATACAATTCAATATTCTTGAAACAATAACAGCAAATTGAATATTTAGTGATGACTTAACTGATAAGCTACAAACAAAAATTCAAAATATTTTTGAGTATTTAGGTTAATGAGAAGTATTTTGTCTTGTTTCCTATTCCATATTAATTAAAATATACTGACAATTTAGAAGGTAACTCCATACATTAGAAAATTCCTGTATCCCGATGAAGGTAGATGCTAAGAAATACCTTATTATGCAACAAGTTCAAGCTGAAAACATTTAAGACAGCTATTTAGGAAAACTATTTATGCAATCTAGCTACATTTAACGACAGTGTATTCCTCTGTCACCTAAGTTTTCCTTCTTTATACTTAAGGTACATGAAAAGAAATTCTCTGTGTACATCTTCCCAACACTGTCCCAAGAAGTTGCTTCTTAAAGGAATCATCAGACCTTTTCTTTCCAGGCTCCAACACTCTGAAGAACAGATGGATTATGAGAGCCATAGGTTACAATGTTTAGCAATGCTTTTAAAAAAAGACCACTATGATAAATGTTTAATCTTTCCTCCTGAAATGATAATACATGTGAAAGCTCTTTGGATCACTAGCAAAATTTTAAATTCTACATAGGTCTAGTTAAAATACTCCACAGAATATCAAGTTTTCAAAGCAGCATCCAAAATGTTATTCTTACCACTGATCCAAAATGTAATTTCTAATTTTCAAATAGCGTTCTGGTGTTTTAGCTTGGCGTCCCTCAAAAAACTCAGGAATTGCTTGTTTTTCTTCTTCCTGAATAATATTTCTATCTATTTCTACTTCTTGTTCTGGTGGCTTAAGCTCTTCTTCCTCATGGCTTTCCTCCACCATTTGGCAGGAAGAATGAAAAAGCATTTCATTATCACTAAAATCTTTCTGAATTTCACAAGGCTCTGGAGAAGGACACTGCCTGGAGTCATCTATTCCATTTCCACCTTGCTTGTCACCATTTTTAATCAGTTTATTGCATTTCTGATCATTTACTTCAGCTGAGTCATTTTCATTGTTGCTCTGTTTTTTGGTCCATGATGTAATTTCTGAGCTTGAAAGTGTTTTCATCTCATCTTGTTTTATGTTCTGAAGATATTCCCTGGAAGATCTGCAAAAGAGAATTTCCTGGCTTCTGATTTCTTGACTGGATTCATGTGTTTTACTATTAGGAATGTCTAACAAGAGACCACTGCTACAATTCTTATGTGATGTCTGAGAAGCCCACTCATCCACCTCATCTGTGATGTCTACTTCTTCATCATCAGACAACTTTTCAATTTTTACAGCATTCAGGTTGGGATCAGCACGTCCCCTTAAACATGATGGTGTCCATGCCTTTGTCCCTTTATCTTCATTTTTAACCTGATGATCACTGCTGCTCTTCTGATTTGGTGTTTCTTTCTCTGGACTCCATTTTACCTTATTAAAAATCAAAATAAGACACCCATAATATTAAGGTTTTAAAATTTTTTTTTTTTAAATATTTATTTATTTTTTTAGTTTTCAGCGGACACAACATCTTTGTTTGTATGTGGTGCTGAGGATCGAACCCGGGCTGCACGCATGCCAGGCGAGCGCGCTACCGCTTGAGCCACATCCCCAGCCCAGGTTTTAAAATTTAATCAACTGACAATAAATAAGATATAATGGTACATTAGACCTTCACTGTGCTTCTCCTTAATGTGTTTAAAACTGCTTTTTAAATGTAAAAGATCAACATTTTAAATTCCCATATATGACTCATGATTTGGTACTTTTAAAATAATAATGATCTATATAGAACTACCATGTATTTATTTTCAGTATTAAGTTTAAAATAGGCTTGAACTAACCAGAGACTAAACCAACAACTTTCATGTTAAGGTGTTCTATAAGATATTAAAAATATTTATAAAAGTCTACTTTTCAAAATGACAACCACAGCTGATCATTTCTTATGATGCTAAAATAATCCTTTACTTGGGAATTTACGTCACATATTTACATTCAGTAAGTTCAATCCATCTTTCATTTAACTATAGAAACTATTTTTTTGCAGGTTAACTTAATGCAGCTTCAATATTACAGAGTTTATAATGTTAAGCCATGGTATTATCTTCCACTCCTGATAATACCTGATAATGTAAGAAAAAGATGAAAGTCAATGAGTAAATATGAATTGAAATGAAAATTTTTATATATAATATTTTTGGAAAATCCTATAAATGACTGACACATCCAAGAGATATGATAGCTCTAAGTAAGAGATAATAGCTCCATTGTCACAAAAGAATCCCAGGATCATGTAAAGAACAAAAGGGTAGCAGGGGAAGGAGGAGATTTGGACATATAGCCTCATATACCATTAAAAATCTTCTTATTTATTTGCAGCCTACTACATTTTAAGGTTTTCTGTTTGTTTTGCAATTCTGGGAATCAAACATGGGGCCTCATGCATGCTAGGAAGAACTTCACTGAATGAGCTAGATTCCCAGCCCTCAGCCTCCTGTTTTTAATCTCAAAATTCTGGATGAAATTTTGCATTAAAGTTCATAAAATTCTAATGTCTGTTATAATATAAATGTATCCTTCCACCCCACATTTATAAGTACAACTGATACTCCAACTTATTCCACATATTCTAATGTAAGAAGCATGGTATAAGAATAATCAGGTGAAGCTGTTTTTCTGTTCCTTATTACCTCAACCTTGATAAACTACTTCAAGTTGCTTTTGTTAGGTTGAAAGAGGTAGCAGCTAATTACTATACAATGAATACCTTCCATTACTTACTACCTATTCCCAGCTAACACCAAGACAAATATTGTATACTAGTTAGAACACATTAGTTACATTAAAACACCAAATTTCACTCAGGACATTTCCAAATTTTATATACTTGCATATTTAGAGCTCAAGCAAAATATGTTAAAAAGTTCTAAATATCAACATTACACAGCTGAATATAGCACAAATTACTTGAAAGATTAAGAAATTATATAACTATGTCTTTCTGAATATTATTTATTAAAGTTTTCAGAAAGTTCTCCACAAAATTTATAAAAACCTCGTTACTATTAAATAGATTCCAGAATCATGTTAGCATTTATGTCCTCTAAGCTGTAATAATAGATAAAAGTCTTTATAATGCAAATACTTAAAAAAGAAGAGATATTGTTTAGAGGAACACAAGACCTCTAAGCTTTTCTCTTAGGAATAATCCTTGCCTTCTAGAATGTTTTGGGGTAGTTAATATTTACCCTTAAACTATAGAAAATTAGGTAGTATAGTATATAAATACTATTTAATAGCAACAGTTAAAAAACTAAAGATATGCTCTAACGTGTTTAAAGTCAAACATGCATAGTGTTTTATGAGGTTAAAATACTTTTAATATAAAACTTTAAACAATAAGACACTAATACTTACATTATATATTTCTGGTTACTAATTTTGTTCTGCTTACCTTATTTTTAAAGTATTGTCTGGCATAACTCTTCACTTGTAAAACACTGCGACTTCCAATCAGCTTTGCAATTTTAGTCCACCTTCGACCAAATTTAGCCTGCGTTATCAAAATGGAAAAAAATTGCTTTTGATTAGCTTACTTATTAATATTTTAAGCAATGGCAAATTTGAAAAACAATTAAAACTATCTTTATCTATAGACTAAACCAAACAATGAAATCCTCCCTATAGACTGTGCTCTTTCAAATCAAAAAGCTCTCCCTTGAACCTGGACTTCTGAAAACAATCCAAAGTGATTTTAAAAATCATAGAAAATAATAATATATATGAAGATCCACCACTTGTGTTACCTAACTATATACATTCATACTGCACATTACGATGTTCCAAAATCTAAGATATCTTTTAAAAATAAGTAAGTGCTCAAAAAGGAGGTAGGTGAACATTGGACATTTAAAGGATCAACTGAACATGTTTTACACTAATCACAAAATTTTCAGAACATCCATTGTGCCCCACACAGACACTTTTACTCTATACAAGTATCAGTGCAATGACTTACAAGTTTGAATCACGAATGAAGTAAACCTGTATCTAATGCCTCCCTCTTAGTGTCAAGGCTGTGCACCTGCTAACACTGAAGCTGAGGGGGAAAAAAACTGGGAACCGGAGGGAGCTCCCATGTTTTGAAGTACAGAAAGGAACACATACAATTTTATACAAAAGGGATTTTTAGGTATCAAGTATAATTCTCATTTAATATGTAAATCCTCTTTATAATATCACCACACAGAATACTTTCTACTTCTCAAAGTAGCTCAACCATTTCAATTTTTTAGAATTCTTATAAGAACAAACAAACAAAAAAAAGAAAAACCACCCAAAACTCAGGGAGGTAGACCCTAGAGGCAGATCCACAGGTCAAACAGTCACGTCTTATCAGTAACAAACAATAACAAATCATCTTCAAAGATCTGACCTGAATGACAAACCTTAACTTGTACACTTATTTCTGATATTCATTAGAAAATCTGACATGGACAATTTCTTAAAACTGAAAGTACTTCTGAGAAAATTGTTAGTAAGTATGAATTAATTACTGAAGATCAGCACTTAACAAGGAGCACTGGCATAAGCCTGTAATCACAGCAACTCAGGATGAAGCAGGAGGAGCACAAGTTCTAGGTCAGCCTTAACAATTTAGCAAGGCCCTAAGCAACCAAGTGAGATCCTGTCTTAAAATAAAAACTTAAAAAGGGCTAAGGTGGTGAAGTGCCCCTGGGTTCAATCCCCAGTACAATAAAAGAAAAAGAGATCAGCACCTAGTTGAGACTAACTTACTGAAGAATCAGTTCTCTTTTTTTGTGTGAGTGGGTAGTAAAAGCAGTTAAATAACTTGATAGCACAGAATAGTAGATCTAGAGATCTAGATAAAAGTATATCACTGGGAACATCAGAAATTTGGACAACATGAACACTGGAGAAAAGATACTAATGAGAGTAGCAAGGAAAACATGCACCAATTTCAAAATAAAGGGACAGTCCACTGCCAAAGGAAAATAAGAAAAAAACCTTCCTTAGTTGTTCAGTATCACATAATTCCCTTCTCGTATGCCTGAGACAATTCAGTATATATGCAAACTCTGTTTTTTGTTTATGAAAGCATTCTAATTCAAATATCTCTTAATGTAGATAGGTAGATTTCTACCTATCTCTATATAAGTAAATACATATTTGCTTATAAATGGACAAAATATCTTAGGAAGGATATACAAAGATGATGACACTGATTACTTCAGAAGTGAGAGGGAGACTTAACACCCTATAACTAGATTACTTTTGACTTTTGAGCACACAAATGCATTCCCATAACTACCAACAATGTCAACAATTAACAACCAAAAAATGGTTGAAAACAAACTATTTCACACATATGTATATCTGATCTTTATAAGGGACAAAACATAAAAGCTGTCAGCAGACTAAAATAAATTACTGGTTAATTAAAATTAGACTATGATGCAACGGACTGAAATACCAATATAGGAAAAAAATCACCAGTACGGGGGAAAAAAACCCTCAATATCGTTTAGTATTCACAGAATTTATAGATACCATGGTTTTAACTAGAAAAGCAAAAACATTTTATTTCTCATCATCTATAGAAATGTAAATATTTCAAACTGCATTTACAAATCTTAAATAATTACACAAATATTATATATATATAATTTCTAAAGTAGTTTATAAAATACAGAGTAACAAGTATCTTAAAAGAAAATATATAATCTACTCTTGTTAAAGACAAATTTCCTGAACATTTTTGTTAAAAATTTCTTCATATTAAGGAATATTTTCAGAAATGAGCATACATCTTTTCCCCATTATATAATCTGTGCATTTTTAAATAGATTTCAGTGAAACATTCATACAAAAGAATGTTTTGTATGAATTTATTTTGTATGAAATTATTCTGGTCTTCATATCTATGCATAAAACATTTGCCTGTGTACATAATGGCAAACAGTTTATTAAAGAACAACTCAGCTGATCACCCAGCTTAACACAAAGTTTTAGACAACTAAATATTTTACCTTTTAATACAGAGAGTTGGTGTCATGTATACAGATAACAGCACAATTTCTTGGATTTTACTAATACCCCAAAAATGTTTATATCAAAGTACTGATTCAAATCTATTTTAGTACCTTAGTTAAAAGGAATTCTCTTGTACTACACTATAAACATCATTACTCTAACTACAGAAAAACTCAAGTTGTTAAATAAATTTAATTAAAAGCTCTGGTCTCTACGATTTAATCTTATAACTCTATCAGTATTTGCTTTTAGAATCATTTTTACTATAAATTAAAAATTGCTCTATTTACCAGCCCTTGTTCAAACAGCTCTTTTTCTTCTATCGTCCACTTTACTGAGTAACTGGCTGGTTTTGTAGGAGAGTGTACCCTGAGGGGAAAAAGAGGAATTGCAAAAAAATTTCTGAAATGGAACATTCCTTATGTATGCAGCTAAAGATTATAGATAGCCATGGGCTAAAACGAATCAAAGAATTAAAAAATAAAACAAAAAAAGAAGGCTACAGCCTCTACCTAGGGGGAGAAATTTACCCTGTCATGTATCTCTACTATGAATGATACGAACCCCAAAAGATATAATCCCAGGGTTTGAGTGAGGATAAAACTAAAGACATCAAAGGAAGTCAATGTAAAAACCAACAAAACAGCCCTCTTAGAATGAATACAAAGCAGCAGGTGTTAATACATTCCCCAATCCTAAAGGTATCTAAGAATTTACAATGATTCCAGAAATATCTCTGATTTAATTACTGGGTAAATCCATATAAATACTGAGCCAGAAGAGAAGTTGCAAAACCATGGCATTACACTTACTGCTTTTAAAATCATTTTAGTAAATTAAAAATAAAATGCTGATGAAGCTAATTCACTCAAGTCATTGATCTTTCTATTAATTTCACATTGTTATTGTTCACTCCACAAAATACAAACATCAAAGGCTGCTCAGTGGTCAAGTTCCTGCATAATTACCACTATGTAAATTATATAAATCCATTTTTTTTTATACTGGGGATTGAATACAGGGGTATTTTACCACTGAGCTGCATTACGAGTCCTTTATTTATTTATTTTGTTTGTTTGTTTAAATTTTGAGATAGGGTCTCACTAAGCTGAGGGTCTCACCAAATTGCTGAGATTGGCCTTGAACTTTCACTCCTCCTACCTCAGCCTCCAAAGTTGTGTAGGATTACAGGCCTGTGCTACTGGGCCTAGTAATCAATCCATATTTTAACCAACTATATACTTACAAGTTTATAATGCTAAATAGTTTTTTTACTTACAAGTTTATAAATGCTAAATCAATATTTTCCAAATATTGGGAAAAAATATTTGTAAGATAAAGTTTCTAGATAATGCTTGAAAGCCATAAATCCAAATTAGATTTCTGCTGAAAATTAGTTAACACAGCAATAGAATTCAAGTTAATATACAATGTATTAGGTAATAGGTTTCTTAAAATTTCTCCATAAATCTCTATGAATCTATCTTTCCCATAATTTGATGAATTGCCTCTATGGGTCACAAAAGAAATTCTAGCTAATAAATATCAACATACTTATGGCATTCTTACATCTGTACTAGAAACTCTGTTTTTATATTTATTTTGTTTTTTAATCAAGAGGGCTTTTCCTCAAGATAACTATAATTTTTGAAAAATATTCCATAATTTTAAATGATCAGAAAGGTTTTAAAAATATAAAACAGAAGTACATACATGATTTTTGCTGTTTTCTGCAGACTGCACCACATGAAAAAAAAAAATAAGGAAGCTTGAGAAGAAATTTCTAAAAATGCATTTATATGTTTAACAGTTTAAACTGATTTTACCTGTTCGTTTGTTTTTTATTATCTTCCTTTTTATCAAGCCAGAATTTTCCTGGAAGTGATTTTTTAGATAAATAATACCTGTATGATTATTAAGGACACTTTTAAAATAAGATTAATCTCAAAAAACTTTTGTGTGACATATAAAATTGGCATTTATAGACTCATGAAAGTCATACTTTGTTTGACTTGGAAAACTTGAAATTCACAAAACCAATTCTGAAAGCCTCTTCTAGGTCCACAAAAATTATGGTAAAAATATCATACCTCAGTGTTGTTACAGGTATAAATTATATGTAATATCACACAATGCCTGCACAAAATGTGCTACATAAATGCTAATTTCTCTTCTCTATTAGAAGTGAGAAGAAATAGCCTTACTGTTTAAAACTTTTTTTCTAAAATATACGGGGAGTATAATAGATGAATTAGATTGGTTGTCTACAGTAATTTGAGAATATTGTTTCCATATTTCTAAAGATAACAGAGAATAGTTCAGCATTCCCCTCTACCCTAATGAAAAGAACACCGAGATCAAATCTACAAAGGATCTCCTTCTCTCAAGTTCTTGAAACTAGCCTATTGCAATAATGTCATTAATCCAAACTACTATTTACTTAACAAATATTTATTGACTATACACTGCACCAGGTATTATGTTAGGTACTATGAGTTGAGGACAAAAAATATAAGCAGACATTACCCTGTCTTCTAAATGCTTGCATATAATTCTACTCTCATTATTATAATTTCTGTTACCATTTCTTAAGTAACTATTTCAGTGTTCATTAACCTAGAATTCTACCGTTTAATATAGTGGCTACTAGCCATATGCGACTCTTGAGCACTTAAACTCCATAACTGGCACGAACTGAAATGTTTTCTAAGGATAGAAAACACAGGGTTCCAAAGATTGAGTATGAAACAAAGAATGTAAAACATTTCATTAATAATGTTTACAAAAAATATTTTAAATGATGTATTATTAGAATTATATATATAAATGATATATTATCAAAATAATTTTATCTGTTTTAAATAACTAGGAAATATTAAATAATATGTGCCTCTCATTGAATATCAATTATTTAGGCTATAACTGCAATGTTTGGGAAATGTTAGAAAATAAGAAAGTCTATAAGAAGCTAATCTTTGATAATTAAAATCAACACAGCAATAATTGGGATGAATTAAAAATAAACCATAATTTATTAGACTATTAATAATCTTTATAAGTCATATAAGAAATCATTTTGTTCAACCTTTCCATTTAACATATAACAAAACTGAGTCTCAAAGAAGTTAAATAACGAATATCACACACAAAGGAAAAAATGAGGACAATAAATCAAAGGCATTTCTGTGTATCAGTGACAAATCCTCTGAAAGGGAAATGAGGAAAACTACCCCATTTACAATAGCCTCAAAAAAAAAAAAAAAGTACACACACACACACACTTGGGAATCAACTTAATGAAAGAACTCTACAATGAAAACTACAGAATGCTAAAGAAAGAAATTAAAGAAGACCTTATAAGATGGAAAGATTTTTCTCTTGCTCTTGGATAGGAAAAATTAATACTGTCAAACTGACCATACTACTAAAAGCACTATACATACTTAATGCAATTAAATCAAAATCCCAATGTCATTCTTCATAGAAACAGAAAAAATAGTCATGAAGTTCATCTGGAAAAATAAGAGACCCAGAAAAGCTAAAGCAATCCTTAACAAGAAGAATGAAGCAGGTGGCATCACTATACCAGACCTTAACCTATACTACAGAGGAACATAACAAAAACAGCATGGTATTAGCACCAAAACAGACTTGTAGACCAATGGTACAGAATAGAGGACACAGAGACTAACCCATATAATTACCGTTATCTTATATCAGACAAAGGTGCAAAAATGTTCATTGGAGAAAAGGTAGCCTCTTCAACAAATGGTGCTGGGAAAACTGGAAATCCATATGCAACAAAATGAAATTAAACCCCTATCTCTCACCATGCACAAAACTCAACTTAAAGTGAATCAAAGACCTAAGAATTAAACCAGAGACACTGCATCTATTAGAAGAAAAGGTAGGCCCAAATCTCCATCATGATGGATTAGGCTCAGACTTCCTTAATAAGACTCCAATAGCATAAGAATTAAAATCAAGAATCCATAAATGGGATGGATTCAAATTAAAAGGTTCTTCTCAGCAAAGAAACAATCAGTGAGGCAAATAGAGTGCCTACATTTGGGAACAAATCTTTACCACATGCACATCAGATAGAGCACTAATCTCTAGGATATATAAAAAAATCAAAAATCTCAACACCAAAAAAAAAAAAAAAACAAAAAAAAACCCAATCAATTAATGGGCTAAGGAACTGAACAGACACTTCTCAGAAGATATAAAATTAATCAACAAATATATAAAAAAATGTTCAATATCTCTAACAATTAGAGAAATGCAAAACAAAACTACTCTAAGATTTCAGCTCACTCCAGTCAGAATGGCAGCTATTAAAAATACAAACAACCGTTAAGTGTTGGTGAGGATGTGGGGAAAAAGGCACACTCATACATTGCTGGTGGGACTGCAAATTGGTGCAGCCAATATGGACAACAGTATGGAGAAACCTTGGAAAACTGGGAATGGAACTACCATTTGACCCAGCTATCTCACTCTTCAGTCTATACCCAAAGGACTTAAAAACAGCATACTGTAGGGACACAGCCACATCAATGATTATTGCAGCACAATTCACAATAGCTAAACTGTGGGACCAATCTAGATGCTCTTCAGTAAATGAATGGATAAAGAAAATGTGACGTATATACAATGAAATATTATTCATCATTAAAAGAGAATAAAATCATGGCATTTATAGTAAATGGATAGAGTTGGAGAATATAATGCTAAGTGAAGTTAACCTATCCAAAAAAATCAAAAGCCGAATGTTTTCTCTGATTTAAGGATGCTGATTCATAATGCGGTTGGGAGGTGGGCATGGGAGGATTAGGACAAAGCGGAGGGAAGAGAAGGGAGGAGGTAGGGGATAGGAAAGAAGGTGGAATGAGGTGGACATCATTACCCTAAGTACATGTATGAAGACTCTACTTTGCATACAAGCAGAGATATGAAAAATTGTGCTCTTTATGTGTAATATGAATTGTAATGCATTCTGCTGTCATATATAACAAATTAAAATTTTTTAAAAATGAGGACAAGAGACTAGTGGCTGAGGCTGAAACATAGATAAGTAGCCACAATTTTGGGGATAAAATATTCATTCTACAGTATTTGCTTTATGTTTTGTACTTAAGATTCTTCCCACAAAACACCTGTAAATTATAGAGTAAAAAGTGAAAAGAACTTTTACATATTATAATTTTGAATCCTTAGAAAAATGAACCTCTTTTAAGTTTTAACTCTGAAAATGGAAATTGGCTTTAAGGTTCTGACTGACTTAAATATTCTATAGTTTCAATTCAGTACTCACATATCACGAAGTGTTGGCTGACAACAAAATTCTAAAAAATATTAAGTTGGATCTCAGACTAAGCAATAAAACAGAACTTGAAGAATAAAATAAATGCTTTCTCATAGATAGAAAATATTGTATTACATGATAGCAGTCTGTAACCAAGTAATACCCATCTAGGAACTAAAGTAGCCTCTCTCATCATTTTTTACATTGATTTTTTAAAACTGAAACCATAAATGCCCCTATAATCACTAAAGGATACTCTTCTTCCAACAACATTTTCTCAATGACAGCTCTGTTCTCTTCACTGATGGTGCTATCAAGAGTCCAAGGCTATTTAAAAAAAAAAAAAAAGGAGTAAGAACACATATTTTTATTATGTTTTGGAAATATTTTTCATGTTTTAGTAAACAAAAATATATAATATTATAATTACAAATAATAACAGCTACTATGTATTGAGTGCAGACATCTTTGATTCTCACAAAAACTATGAGATAAAACTTCATGCTCACTGATATCACTGCAGCATTTTAGGTGGAAGAAAGAGTCCTTAAACCAGCATTGCCAAATTCCAAGGCTCATGTTCCTCCCCACAATGAGATAATAATGGCTATTATATATGAGGAGTTATTAGGCATCAGATATCTTACTAGACACTAAACAAATTTCCAAAACTTACAATTCTTTTTTTCCCTCAGCCACAATCTCTCTGTGGATGATCATGCATATTTTCAACTCCAAAGTTATAAATTATCAGCTCATATATGTTCTCCAAGCTTACATCCAACTGTTCTCTCAAGATTTCATCTTGGATATAATTGGCTTTTCAAATTTAACATATTCAAAATGAAACTTACCATTACATATCTCCAACTGCTTCTTCTGTTGCTTTTCCAACATCGTAAAAGGCATTACTAGTCACTAAGTTCCTCCATCTAAAAACCCAGTAATTATTGTGGATTCTTTCTTTTCCCCAGTCTCCATATTCAATCTGCCAACCAGCTCTACCTCCAAAATATAATTCAAATCTGTTAATGTCTCTCTCTTTTGCTACCACTAGGGACAAGCCACCATCATAAATCTTACTTAGATTACTTCAAATGTTTCCTAACTGGTCCCTTTGATTCCACTCTTGCTTCCCCTCCAATCTAATCTTTACCCTAGCATCCCAAATTAATTGTATCAAAATGAACTTACACATTTGAATAGAATCTATATCCTAAATTAACTGTATCAAAATGAACTTACCCATCTGTATAAAATCTATGTAAAGTGTTTCAATGATGATTCAGTTCTCTTAAAATAAAATGTAAGCCCTTTAACATAATTTAACTCACAAGCCCTAAATGACAAGAGTTCTTACCTGCTTTCACATCTCTCTTTCCCACTATATTCTAGACATGGTATAGGGCTCCTTCCTTCAACCAGAGCTTTTGCAATTGTTATTCCTTTTACCTAGAATTCAATTCTTTTCTCAATTCTTCACATATCTCCCCATTCTTCCTATTAATTTTTAGCTTAAAATATCACCTCCCCAGTTTCCCTCATTGACAATTTATCTCAAGGAGGCTCCCCACCCTGGTATTCTCATCAGCACTTTATTTCCTTCATAATCTACAAATGGTTTGCCTACTTATCACCTCTCTCTCCTACTGAATGAATACAAACTCTTTGAAAGTAGGACCACATCTGTCTTGATTATAGCTGTATTCCCAAACCTGGACTAGTGTCTGGCATATAGTAGATATTCAATAAATAACTGATAAATAAAGAAATGAAAGTAGGGTTAATCCCCACTGTTTACTTGAAGAAACAAAGGTTCACAAACCTGAGAAGTGGCAGAGTCAAGAATTTGTACCTAAATCCAACTGGCTCCAAAGTTGTTTCTCAATAGGACATTTTTCAAAATTGAAAGAAAAATGAGGTTTCTTCCATTATGAAAGTAAGAAAAAAGTTCTTATGTATTATCTATGTTATTTCTGAAAACTAGCCCTCTGTTAAAAATAAGAAAGAGGCACTCTGGGCAATGATAACAGTTTCATACAATACTTACAATAAGGCCATTCTCATTTCTCCATGATGAGTCCAGATAGTGATCTTGTAAAAGTGATGCTTTATTTTCATCATTTCTGTAATAATTAAGAAAATGGCTATAAGAGATAAATATTGGTTAATGGCTATAGCTCATACTCAGGGACTCTGGTGTAGGTTTCTTCTCCCCTTAAAAAGATTTAATATAGCAAAAATACCTACTGTACCTCCTTGGCCTATAAGGAAAAAAATACCCAGGCAACAACCACAACATACTCTGTGGCCTTGAAGTACCACTTCAGTTTTGACTCATGTACTCATATGTGTAAAAGAACTCAACTTTGTAATTTAACCTTTTAACTATATCTAAACCATAAAAAACTTCCATCTATAGCATCAACCTCAAAATGAAGAAAAAAAAATCAAAACTAGATGGAAAAATTAAAATAGAAATTACTAAATGAAATTTTAATGACATCCCATACACTTTTCTTTTTTGTAATGGGGATTGTACCAAGGGATACCTCACCATGAGCTACATGCCCAGTCCTTTTTATTTTCTAAGACAGGGTCTCACTAAATTGCTGAGGCTGGCCTCAAACTTGCGATCCTCCTTGCCTCAGAGTCCCAAGTCGATGGGATTACAGTAGTGTACCACCACACCTAGTTCTACTCATATAATTTTTAAAAATTAATTTGGGTTATTTGGAGGACTTCTATGTCCATCGGGGAATCAAACTTTATTAATTTTCTCACTCCTTTCATTGTACTAACAAGTTACAAAGTACACTACATAAGTAAAAAGGCTGGCTCGTTAAGTTCTCAGGACCACAAACTGTGATATAATTAAATTTAATATTTTGCTTTTGTACACTTGAAGTTACAAATTTTCTAGTAATGACTTTTCCCTGGCCAAACTTTTCCCCAGGTTTAAATTCAAGGACCAACTCTGATCTGGAAGGGGCTAAATAAAGGATTCTGTCTCTTGTATCAGCAAAAGGAAATATTTGCTCAAATAACTAGGTCTACCAAGTGTGTGGGAGTTGGGACTATTATCATTTCAAGTTCACTGCACAAATCTCTTCACATAGTACTCTCTAATAGGAAGGATTAGCAATATCTACACTCTGGTGTATGCAATATGAACACTGCCCTAATCTCCATACATACCACAAATCAACATGTGTAAGTCTAAAATCACTTTTTCTCCCAAATCTGTTACCCTTCCATTGTTCTTTATCCCAGTTAATTGCACCATCACCTCCCTGGTTATCCAAACCAAAAGTCTGAATCTGCTGTTCTTTCTTCACAATCCTTATTCAGTCTGCTTGACAATTCTATTGTTTCTCCCTTTTCCAAACCTAGTCTTTCCACTGTATTCATACTTAGTTTGAGATCTCATAGTTTCAGACCTTACAGCTTTCCTGCCTAAGTATAAGAGATAAAGCCGACAAGCTATTCATCTTTCATCTTTTCTTCACTTTATTCCATCTGTCACTATAAAACGTTTACTGTCTATCTTATCCAACAGCAATATTAGTTCTGTATGAGGAGGGACTTGATTTTTACAACAGCTATATACCTAGGCCTGGCATGTACATGGTGCTCAATTCACACTTGATTGAATGAACAAAGTAGGTGGGTCACAAATCACACAGGTCTCTAGTAGGGAATTGAAGATTTATCACAAAATCAATTGGAGACTGAAGGGAATAATATTCACATTTGGTAAGAAAGACCCTATCTTTAGTAAAGAATAAAGGGGGTCAAGGAGACAAAGACCAGTAAAGAATCGATTATAAAAATACCAAAAAAAAAAAAGGTGGCAGCAACTTATACCTCAGGAACAAACAGTGTGACCAGAAGTAAATACATTTGAAAGGATATGTAAACAGAATGAACAGTTCCTTAACAACTAATAGAATGGGAAAGTAGAAAGAGTTAAGAAAAAGGGATGAAGTTTTAGATCTGTGTCTTATATGACCGGATGGGTGGCTGCCGGTGCCACTTAGTAAACTAGGGAACATCAGAGAGGCAGGTCTGGTGGAGAAAGTTTGTAAGTTGAGATTTAAGTACTTGTGGGACATCCAAGTGCTGATAGATTCAGAGAGTTGAGTAAATTACTCTGAAGCTCAGGAGAAAGATTTGGGTTACTGACAGATTTGGGAGATATTAGCATGTATTAGGTTCAACTTGGGGAACTTCCATGGAAGAACATTGGTAAAATTTCATATGGAGCATCTAACAAAAATTACGTGACTATGAAGAAGCAGAAGACCTATGACAAATCCCTTTTTAATATCATCATTTAAAGAACAAGCAGAAGAAAAGGAAGACAAGAAAAAACGATAAGAATAGAAGGAAAACTAAAACGCCATCTTTTAATTTTGGTACCTAGCACTCAGAAAATGGTTAAAAGCAGTATGCTTTAAATTTATCTTCAAGAGTTCCACAAATGCTATTATCAGCTGTAATTACACATTTCAGGGGGCACCAGTTATACTAAATTCCAGATGACTGTAGCCCCATTTACAAGAACATAATGTCAATAAGGCTCCTTGGAATCACATAAAGCAATGAATCTGACCATCAGGAGCCAATAATCTTTGTAGTTCTGCTTGTATGAGACAGATTGAAGAGCCACCACTACACCTAAGGCTGAAAAAACAGGAAGGAAGAAAACGAGAAAAGGGAGAAAAATTAAACACAATAAGAAAAATTAAGATAAAACCATGAAAGAGGCATAGAGCCAAAATCCTCAGATGATCTTCCAAGGCAAACTCATTTCTTTATAGACTGCAGATTAAGTATCCCTGTCCACTTACTTCATTGACTTGTTATGAAACATAAATTAAATCAAGCATTCAAAAATACTTAAAATTTAAAGCCTACACAAATTGTGAACAATTGTTATGAAAGACTTCCTACTTATCTGTATAGCTTCCGACTGCTCTGCGTAAAGATCCATATTCCTCACATTTTTATAGTTCTTTAGAATTCACACTTGAAACTCCCTATCTTAGTGCCTCATGGTCAAGGTGGGTACTTTTCTCCTTCTGAGCCCTGATATCAAGAGGAATCACATGAAATTGCCACTTCACATGTCAAAAATGGCCTATGTAACGTAACTCGATGCAATTAGAACATAGATCTGATTTCTATTTTGTATAGACTAGAAAGGGACAGGGAAACCGAAGATGGTGTGTTGGGTCATTACTGAAAGGAGGCACATTTCTTACTTTGAAAGCAAAGGCGCAAAGGAGGTTGTTTCAAACCATATCATCCTGTTCTGCAGGAATAGGTACTAAAGGAAACCATCCCCGAGGATGAGGACTCATTTGATCTTCACAACGACCTTATGAGATATACATCATGACCCCCAACTTACATACAAGCAGTCTGAGGCTCAGACAAGTTAAGCGTCTTGCTCAAGGTCACAAGGCTAGTTACTGGTAGAACCAGCAAAAGCAGAAGGAAAGTCCAGAACTGTCCAGAACTCTAAAATCTGACCCCTTTCCTTTAACTCATGCTGCCTCTTAGGAAGTTTTTCGCAACTACCCCTATGTAGAAAAAGGAACGAAACGACTCGTCCAAGGTCGCACGGATAGCAAGCGATGGAAGATGAGTCCCTGAGCTCAGGTCCGGTCTACTAGGTGCCCTCATTCTAGTTACTGACGGCAGATTCTGAGGCAAAGGGAATGCAAGAAGGCATCCGAATTGTTGGAGCAAGTGCAATAAGCTAAGAGAAAACTGCTCCCTCACAGCATCTCTGTAAAAAAGTTAAAGAGCCATGCGGACACTTGAGTACCTGAGCTCAAGTACCATTCTGCTGGGCTCAGGACAAGCTAGCGGGCGGAACCCGCGCTTCGACTTCCGGGACCAGAGGAGACTCTGGCCCAACACACCATCTTCGGTTTCCCTGTCCCTTGCCGGACCCGCAGCCAAGGATCCACGGTCCTCCCCTCGCATCTATGCCCGCCCCCATCCCGGGGAGACCCCGTCTCTGCGCCTCACCCTGGCGGTGCCGCCGCAGCCGCAGCCACCACATCCCCTTCGATATCCACATCTGCCTCTTCCGCAGCCATGATGGCACCTGACCCCGTCAGTCTTCCCGAGAGATACCGCGAGAGGTGGCGCGCAGGGGCGGGGCCGAGGTCGTTGCGTCACGGGGCGGAGTTGAAACCTCGCCCCAAGCTAGGGAGGCGGGACTATGAGAGGAACTGGGTCTCCAAAGGCGGGGGCTTGGTATTAAATGTTTTGACGTGTAAAGAGATCTAGGAAAGTCACCCAGGCAGGACTTCTAGGAGCTTGTGTTCCAGGACAGATTCTTTGACGCCTCACTTCTCTCATGTGTGCAATGGGGATACCAGCAAGTATCTTTTTAGTCAGATGAAAAAGTCAAATCAGACCTACTTTGTGAACTCCTCAGGAGGCAAAGGTGAAGGACACTTTTGGGCTCGTTAAATATCTCTCTGTCGTTCTCTCTCTCTCTGGAAAACTTGACTTGTGTGAAGTGTAGAAAGACTTACATTTCAAAATGCAACAAAAATATATTAATATAACTTATGGTTGTGTTTTTTATGGCGATCTTTACAATTTAAAAATCACTCTCATGACTGTTAATCCTTATAATAACCCAGTAAGGCAAGCAAGGCCATATCATCAGTTACACTTCACAGATGAAAAACTGAAGCTCAGAAAATTAACATGATTGCCCAAGGACAGCCCAAGGAATTCAGACCTTTTTGACTCTTCCCTAAGTGTTCACTGCATATAAATCAACATTGTTAGAAGCTCTTGAGGATAAACACCATTTCTGCCAAAAATTGATGGCTTTTCAAGAACTTAGACATTGCCCTTACACATTCCTTTACTTACTTCACCAAGGATTCCCATTGACTCATTTGTCTTCATCCCCCCCACCCCGCCCAGTTATGAATACTTGAAGGATAAAAACTGTCTGATAGTCCTTAAACTAACAACATTCAGCATGGTATCAGGAGTGTAGTAGTGCTCAATAAATGTTGAAGAAGCAAATGAGTCAGCAAAATGAGCTTATTTCCCACATCATTCTTAATTTGTCTCATCTCATTTTTGTTTATTCTCAGAGCATAAGATGGGCTGAACCATGAATGTAATGGAAAGAAGATGGAGAGAAAGATTTTTAAAGATGAGAACCCAGTGCTCAAAAACTGAACACTGTGAGTGCCCATTCTCAGGCCACCTGAGGGTGCTCTTCTGTTGTCAAGGGTCTTATCCAGTGACCAGCTCCCATGATAACACCATGTCTGCACAGAGTAGGTATTTTAAAGTGTCTGTTGAATTTAATTTAGAGCAGATTTAGGATTTGTTGTACATGGACGAGATAGTAAAAAAAAATGTAGAATAGAGCTGGGTGCAGTGCTGCATGCCTGTAATCGCAGCAGCTTGGGAAGGATTGCAAGTTCAAATCCAGCCTCAGCAACTTAGCAAGACCCCCGTCTCTAAACAAAATATTCAAAAACCCTGTAAATGATGTTGCTCAGTGGTTCAGTGCCCCTGGGTTGAATCCCTGGTGGGAGAAGGAGGAGGAGGAGGAGGAGGAGGAGGAGGAGGAAAAGGGGAAGGGATGTACCTTTCACTGACATTTACACACCAGGTCTGGATGAGGACCCTGGCAACACTGGAAATTTGTTGTATCAAGTTCGATACAACAAATTAGTTGTATCCTAGAGAATAATACACAATACTGTGTGAACAGTGTCTCCTGTAGGCTTTTGCTAGTCCAGGACCCTACATTGGTAGGCATTGAAATATAGATGGAAGGAAGGAAGGAAGGAAGGAAGTCATCTCAATGCCTCCCTTGACAGAGTCCTTAGTTAGGAAAAAAGTCATCTCAATGCCTCCCTTGACAGAGTCCTTAGTTAGGAAAAAATATCAATTGAAATCCATCCAGTACTGACATGGCTGTTAGACTCACCATACCAGAACATTAAAGCATTCTTCATAACTGCATTGTGTAAATTCAATAAGTTAATAGAGGCACGGAAAATACAAAAAAAGGATAAAATTCAACTTCTGGGGATGAAAACTACAATGTGTGAGATGAAAAATACACTATCAAGATTGATGACATGTTAGATATTGATGAAGAAAGGATCAGCAAACTTGGATACATAACAAAAAGAGACCAAAAAAAGGAACACACAGAGAAATAAAAAAAAAATTAAAAATGAACAGAGAATCCATAAGGGAACTTCAAGCATCTCAGTATGTATGCAATAGGAGTCTCTAAAAAGCAGGGGTAAGGGATCATAGAAAATATCTGAAAAAATAATGCCTGAAAAGAATGTCCAAATTAGAAGAATACTGTAATCTCATAGATCCTAGAAACTGAAGAAACTCCAAGCAGAAAACAATAAATAAAAAATATACTAGGATCCATTATGATCAAATTACTCAAAACCAATGATAAAGAGGAAATTTTGCCAAAGGAAAAAAAAAGGCATGTTACCTACGTAGGGACAAAGAATGACATCAGATTTCTTGTTGAGAACAGCAAAAGCAAGAAAACCTAAAAGCAACATCCTTAAAGTAGAGAAGGGGGGAGTGTAGCAAATCACCTCACTTAAAATTCTATGCCTAGTAAAAATACTTTTCAGGAGATGAAGGCAACCTAAAGACTTTTATATGATATACAAAATCTGAAAGAACAAGAAACATTAGAGGACATCTAATCAGGCAGAAGGAAATTACGTAAGATGGAAATCTGGATCTACACGGAAGAATGGAGATCAGGGATAACAACTACATAGGTACATATGCAAGATTTTTTCTTAGCACTTAAATCTCTTTAAAAAGAATATTAGCCATTTAAAAATAATACCAATATACTGTGAGATTCATAACATATATGCAAATAAAATGTGTGACAACAATGTAAAATCTAGGAAGAAAGACGTGCAAGCACAATATTGTAAGGTTCTTACACCATTCAAGAAGTGGCATAATAGCCCTTGAATATGCATTAGAGATTATAGTATAAACCCTTGCACAATTACTAAAATAACAAGACCATGTTTGAATGTTAAAATTTGAAAAATACATTAATAAATTACTTGCAACTTTTTAAGTAATAAAAGGGGGTAATTATTAACTTGCTAAGGGACACAGATTTAGGAAGTAATGGAGCAGAAATTCAAAGGGACAAAGATATTATTTTTCCTACCCCAGACTGTCTTTCGTATGTGTGTGTGTGTGTACACATAGGTGTATCTTCAGAGTTAAGTAGGAAGACCACCTCATCAGTGTAGAGATGGACAAGTAAATGTAAATGTAAAGAAATGGAAGGACATTTAGGCCTGAATGAATGTGCACATCTAAGTTCACAGTGTTAGATGCTGCCAAGCAATGTTGAAGAAAAAGGAAGCTGGAGTGTTATAGGTTGCTGGTTCTAATATGGCGGAAGATTCTAATATTTTTTGTCTCATTGGCCTAATCATGTATGCTCTGATAACTTCTATGGTAGGAGGATGATTTTTTTTCTTTTTATTGCTTTATTCCTATGGACTACATCAGTATTAGTTTCATAGCAAGCATTCAATAAATATTTGTTGAATAAATGATCAAAAAAAAAAGACCAACCAAAATGAACACACAGAGGAATTTTTTAAAAATTAAAAATGCATACAGAATCACTGAGTTGTAAGGCAAATTCAAGTTCCCCCAATATATACGCATTTGGAGTCTCTGAAAAGCAGGGGTGGGGGGTTTTGCCCCTGTATGAAGCCATTACATTGGAAACATAGCTGAGTCTCCTTGTTCTAACTCCAGATTCAGAAAGCAATAAACCTACATATATTATGACTTATCTTTTCACAAAGCAAGAGAATGGACAGATCATACTGATGGGAGCTTTACAGACAGGTGGCAGTTACAATTCTTGATGCAAAGGACAACTTGGCAGGCTGGTAAGCCAATCAGTCTTGTGAGCCTTTCAAGTAGTACGAGTCACCCGGGTCTGGCCTCTTTGCTCTTGGAGAGGACAAGCCAGTCTGCAGGCTCTTCAAGCATGTGTGCTCCACACATCCCTCCACTATCTGACCTTGTCACGTCACTTTTACTATTTTTTTCTTGTTTATTTACAAAAAAGCAGAGGGCAAAATGGTTAAATTCAAGCTAGTTGTCTTTGCAATTAACAATTTACTTCCTTTAAACAATGTTAAAATTAAAGTCTTACGGGGGATCATATATTTAGATTTTTATTTTGGAAATTAACTTTTATTTTTACTCTTAATCCTCTTAAAATGTCATTATATATTTAAAAATGCATAATGCTTATATAGAAAAGAACATTTTTATTCGTTCTGATTCTCTGTTTTCCTGCAAACTGAATGAATATTGGGGTAATTTTAGACTGTAGGGGGAGAAAGATGAATTATGGATAGAGAGGATGTGCCAAGCCAATATGAACACCTGCCTATCCCAAATATCATGTAAGGCAGGATCTTCTTTGACCCTCCTAGGATTCTTGCCAAGAAAGTATTATCATCCCCAGGTCAGGTAACTTAAGATTCAGAGAGTGATGACTACATAGCTAGTGAGTATCAGAGCTGGAATTCCAGCCCAGGTCTTTCTGATTCTGTACTGACTCAAGTATACTTTCTTTTTTTTTTTTTTTAAGTTATAGGACACAATACCTTTATTTTATTTATTCATGTGTGCTTAGGATCGAATCCAGTGCCCCACACATGCAAGGCAAGCACGCTACCACTGAGCCACAATCCCAGCCCTCAAATATACTTCCATATTAGTTACAGTTTGGATTTGAAATGTCCCCTAATGGCTCACATATTGAATGTATGTTCCCCAATGCAGCAATGGTCAGAAATGGGGCCTTTTGCAGGTGATTGGATCATGAGGGCTTTAATCTTTTCAATGGAATAATTCACTAATAGATTCATAGCTAATAGACTACTGGAAGATGGTGGAAACTGTAGGAGGTGAATATAGGCGAAGGGGGTGGGTTCCTGAGAATGTGCTCTGGAAGCTTGTGTCTCATCCCCAGTACCTTCCTCTCTTTCTCAACTTCCTGGCTACCATGAGT